TGGAGCCCTGAGGGGCAAGCGGGGCCGCCTTCCCCCAAACCAAGAAACTCATCTCGGGCCTGATGCTGGGGACCCCTTGAGTTTCTGAGGGCGCATCCCTCAGATCGCCATTGTCCCTGCGCTCGTCAGTCTTAGGGGCACAGGCATGAGTCGGGCGTCGCGCGCTTGCCCGCAACGCGGACCACTCGACTAGACGTGAGAGTGACCCTTCGCCGGAGTGAACTGTGGTGCGGGCCCAATCGGGCTCCCCGATCGCTGAATGCGATGCGAGACTGGCGGCTTGCGTGCCTGGTGGTGTCCCCACAGGGTCCACCCTGGCCGCGCACAAAAGGTCATTCTCATCCAGGGTCACCCTGGCGTTCGCAGTCAACCCGCATTGTAAGGATGGGCAACCTTCCCAAGGCTACCATTGCATCCTTGCCTCCTTGGTCCATTCTTGGCCGCTTTCGCTGGCCGCGCCCCGCTCGCAAACTGTCGAAACGGCCTTCCGAGGCCCTTGCACCCTTATCGTGCGCCCTTACGATACAGGTTGACTGTACAGGTCATTCTTGCCTCGGGTCACTTTGGCGTGTAGCCGAACCACCACCACCAGCGCACGCGCGCAAGAGGACGAGCTCTTCCGGTACCTGGCGAGCGACATGGGCCTGCTCCAGGAGGCGCCTGGGCTGCCGCCAGATGCCCCCCCTCGGGGCCCACGTGACGAGGGTCAGTGCTAACGTGAAGTCGGGCATGTCCCTCTACAGGAGGAACGTTCAAGAATGATCAGAAAATGGTTTGGGGACGATGTTTCCGGCCCTTTTGACTATTTTTGATGTTTGTGTGACTATTTGCATGTTTCCAAAATCGGTCTGCAGCAGGACATGCCCGACCTGATGCTAACCGGGGTCGGCCAGTCTCCTCGGGACAGGGAGCCACGCGGAGGCGTTTCTCCTTCTCCGCCCTTGGCTGCGGGAGCAACTCGGCGGCTGGCTCGGCTTCGCGACAGGGCCCCAGCCTGCCCAGTTTCGGGCTGACCCGGATTCGAGCGCGTCCCCGACGCCCCCGCCCCCCCCGCGTGTCGGGGGCGGCGAAGGCCTCCACGGTTGAGATGGTTGTGGCAAGACGGATAAGGAAAACCGGCAGCACTTCATGTCCGTCTTGAGCAGGGATCGCTCTCGGGGTGCCGCCGCGGACGATGCCCTACCCAACGCCGGCCGCTGTCGGCTTTAGACAACATAAGCTGCTGGGCGCTGTAAGAGTTGGTTTCCGTGTACACTTCGGGCGTGCCAAGACCAGGGGGGGGGGGAAACCGACATGGTTGGATTCTACGGCCGGGGCCATAAGATCTCCCAGTTATCGTCGCCCACTCTTCCTGACCCTCCCCCCCCCTCGCCCGCGCACATGCCTGGGGCCATGGTGCGTTCGCTTCCCTCGCGTTGTTCCCCGTTCTCGGTGCACACGATCTCTCGTGAAGGGCTCGAGAATCTGGGTTCGAGGGTCGACAAAGACACGACGGAATATGTGTGTGTTGTTGTGTTTGTGTGTGTGGTGCGTATGTGTGTGTGTGTGTGTCTGTCCATGTGTGTGTGTCTCCGTGTGTGTGTGTGTCCGTGTGTGTGTGTGTGTGTCCGTCTGTGTGTCCGTGTGTGCGTGTGTGTGTGTGTGTCCGTGTGTGTGTGTGTCCGTGTGTGTGTGTGTGTGCGTGTGTGTGTGTGTCCGTGTGTGTGTGTGTTTGTGTGTGTGTGTCGGTGTCTGTGTCTGTGTCTGTGTCAATGTGTATGTGCGCGTGTGTGTGTGTATGTGTGTGTGCGTGCGTGCGTGCGTGCGTGCGTGCGAGGGTGTGTGTGTGTGTGTGTGTGTGTGTGTGTTGACGGTCCTGGGGCCACGAACAGGGCGCCGAGGCCGCCAGGAACGGACCTTGGGTGATCTGCCCCCTCTGGGGAGGGGGGCGAGGCCTCTGAGGGTTCACTGTGTGAAGGGCGAGAACGCTGGAGGGATGGGTTCTTCGGGGTCTTAGGTTGAGGTTCAACGACGGCCTGCTTAACACAGTTGTCTGTGCGTGCTCTGACGGGCCAGAGCTTGGGGAGTCGTGGGGGGGCCGTTCTCTATCTTGTGGCCCTCAAGTTCCCGTTGGCTTCAATGAGTTCTTGGGCCAGCCTGCGGCTGCCCACGGGCACAGGCGCCACGTTCCCCAAACGATGCATCTTGGGAGGCCGTTTCGAACTGCTCAGTGTCCCTGATCTCTGGGACGGGCTGGTCGACAGCGCGGGCGAGAAGGCTTCTGACACGCTTGAGGAGCCGGGTTTGGGCCGCAAGTTCGAGCAGGCTTGGGGCGACGAGCACCCGGGGAGCGGGGCAGCAGGCCATGTTAGATGGCGCCTTGGTCGAGATGGCATCTTGTAGATTGCAGGACTGGGCCTCAGAGAACATCTGGATGAGTCATGATGGTTGTGGCGTGGATGCCTCGAAACAAAAGTCAGAGCTGCACGGCGGTGGACCCTTCTGGCCGACTCCAAGCCATCGGCTTGCGAGGCAAGACGAATCCTCCCACGACGCCCGCCAACGGGGCCCAGTGGGGCGACCAGCCATGGGCTCACGGAGTTGCCGAAGGAGATCAGCATCGTGGCCTCGGGCAAGCTCATCGCCCAAGGCGGCGCTGTAGAAGGCTTCCGCCTCGGCTCCTGGCCCGCGGGCAGCGTCTGGCTTCGGCGGCGGCAAGAAGCACAGGCAGAAGGGGCCCAGCAAGAGCAAGTTCGCGAGAAGTGGGCGTTCGGAAGAGTCCGCTGGCGTCTGGGCCTTCACTCGTGCTGGCTACGGGTTCATTGGGGGCGCAGCTTTTTTGGCGTGGACGCCCCGATGGCACGTCGGCATCATGCGTTGGTGCAGCTGGTATTGTACCAGTCTACAGAGCGCGCTCGAGATACATGCGGACGTCGAGGATATGGATTTGTCACATGGGTGAGATAAAACGAACTTGGCGAGCTGGAGTTATTGCTGTTGTGCCTCCTCGCCGCGTGCCTGGCCACCTGGGGCCTCCACGTGGCGGGGTGGTGAGGGCCCCGAAGGAGGGGCCCACTGCACAGACATCGTCCCAAGTCGCTTCGTCCCGCGCTGGCTTGTTCGCTCGCTCCTCCCTCACCCCCCCATCCTCTTTCCATCCCTATCTCCTCACCCGTTCCTCCCCCTCTTCCCTTGCCCTCCCCTTGCCCTCTCCCCTGCCCGGCCGTCGTGACTTGCTGCGGTCCCAGTTGCAGGACGTGGCCAAGGGCCTCTTCTCTGGCGCACTCGAGAAGCTGGAGGCCATCAAGGCCGAGCAGGCCGCCCACGTCGCCCGCCTCACCAAGAAGAAGCGGAAGGGTGTATCAGGTGAAGGTGTGGCTGCGGGCTCGGTGGCAGGCGCTACTCAGGACTCGACCACTGCCAGCCAGGATCCCAAGGCGAAGGACAGAGACAAGTCGGTCGGCTTCGCGGACTCTGCACCACCCTCTGCTCGGTCGGCGGGAGCCCCAGCAACACCTGTTACGACTCCAGCGGCTACCAGCATTCGTGAGCGCGCTGCGGCCCAGATCAAGGCTGCTTCAGTGCGTGGCCCCCCTGCTGCCGCTGCTGACAAAGCCAGTGCGTAGCAGGGGGGGGCACAGTGAGTTTAACTCAGTTCAGTGTGGCGGTGTCGAACCGTGGAGTGTGCGTGGGCGCACCCACAGGCATGGTCTTTCACACAGTATCCTGGCTTACGCCAATGCCCGCCTGACCAACTCCTCGTCGCTGGCTCTGGCCGCCCGAGCGAGAGCTAGGGTCAGGAGGGCGAGTTTTGACCCTATGTCTCACCAGCATCTTGAGGCCCTGTCCTGTTGCCCGTGTGGGGGCCCTGGCCAGATGCTCCCGCCTAGGCCCTTGGAGTCCTCGGCCCAGGCTACTAGCAGTTTCCGTGAGACGGGGTGGGCTGGTGCCGTCCCCGTCCACAAGTTTTGCACCCCACCCCCACCCCCTGGGAGAGCTCAATTTTCCCTGAAAGTAGAGACGCTTAATTGCACTGCCTGGTCATCGCTGCAGCGATGGCTCCCGCATTGCACGTCGCACATCATCCTGCTCCAGGAGCACCACCTGCGCCTCGGCGATGAGGCAGACCGAGCTTCGTCCTGGGCCAAGGTCCACGGGTGGCAAATTCTTCTCACTCCTGCCCTCTCCACCCCGTCGGGGGGGACGTCGGCTGGAGTAGGCATCATGGTCAGAGATTTCCTTGGCCTTCGGCCCCCGCCAGGTGGTCACGTTTTGGTCCCTCATAGGGTCGTAGGTGCAATCGTCAATATTCCAGGCGGCGACGCGCTGTACGTCGCCAGTGCGTACCTCCACCACTCCCAGGGGCTCAGCGACCTGAACCTGCGGCTTCTCTCGCACGTGGCCGCTGCTTTGGAGGTTTGGGCTGGACCTTACATTCTGGGAGCTGATTTTAATATGGAACCGTCGGTCTTTCAGGAGTCTGAGTTTGCGAAGTCTTGTGGGGGACGTGTGGTGATTCCTGAGGCTGCTTCTGGATCCTGTCTTTCTACTGGAGGGACCCGCCTTCTGGACTTCTTCGTGGTCTCTTTGGGTTTATCTAAAGGTCTGGCGAAAGTTCAGGTTGAGCTTGATGCGTGCACATCACCTCACTCACCTGTGTCTTTGGAGTTCTATCCGCAGCTGGCGCAGCTATACGGATTGAGGTTCCGCCGACCCCCACCAATCCCTGTGGATCCTATAGTTGGGCCTCAGCCTCAGCCTCCTAACTGGGACTCTGCAAGGGCCCTTGGGCAGCAGCTTTTGGATGCGCTGCACTCTGGGCACACTCAGACTGTCCAGAATATGTTGGATGCTGTGTACTCGTCTTGGGCTAACCTTTCTGAACGCGAGCTGGCCGACTCGAGGGGCGTCCAGCTGCCATGTTTAGGAGCACGGTCCAAGGCGCCGCAGATGTACTGGGCGCTGGTTTTGGAGCAGGACAGAAAGCCCCCAGTGCGACAGCCCCTGTGCTATGCAATCAAGTGGCTGAGTTTGAAGTTCAGAATGTACGTTTCGTTGCTCGACGCTCCTGGCCCCGACGCGGTCAGGCAGGCCAGGGGGTTACGTCGAGTTGTGTTGAATCCACCCGTCTTTTTGCATGCAGGATTGGCTCATCATCAGCGGTGGTATAATGAAGTTTGTGCTGCAGTACAGAGCTCTCACGGCTCCGACGTGTACGGGGCTCTTTGTGCTCAGCTCGATGTTGCTGTGGCTGCTGCTGAAGCCATCGCCCAGCAGGAAGCTTTAATTGGATGGAAGCAGTGGCTACTCGACAAGGTTGAAGCAGGTGCTAAGCGTGCGCACTCGGTCGTTCGTGGTTTCACTCCGTGGGCCCCGACTGCGGCATTGCTATCTAATGGTGTCGTCGTGGCCGACCCCCAGGCTCTCCTCGATGCACAAGCTAAGCAATATGAGCAACTGCGGCATGCTCACCCGCAACCTCGGCCTCAATCGGACACCTTTCAGCCTCTACCCTCCCTACCTCGGCTGGCTCCAGATGATCTCAGGGCTTGTAGTCGCAAGTTTCCCAGAATGACGGCTACCTCGGTCGACGGCTTTCACATGCGCCACTTCGCGTCGTTGTCGGATGCCTCGCTCGACCTCCTCTCAGTCATCTACACAGCCATGGAAGTGAGCAGCCTCATCCCGAAGCAGGCTGCGATCACTATAATGTCTCTCATCGGCAAGCAGGCTGGGGGCTTCCGACCCATCGGCCTCTTCCCCTCCATTTATCGATTGTGGGGCAAGGGGAGGAGAGGATACGCCGCGCGGTGGGAGGAGAACAATCGTCGCCCCTTTTTTTGCTGCTGGCAAGTTTACCTCTTCCACTGACGTGGTCTGGCGGCAGTCTGTGAAGGGAGAGGTTGGTGTTCGAGACGGCAAGGTTTCTGCCATTTTACTCTGGGACCTGGTCAAGTGTTTTGAATCGATTAACCTCGACCTCTTGCTCCACAGGTGTGCCCAGTATGGCTTTGACATGACCGTTGCGCGACTGGTGGTCTCCATGTATAGCAACGCTCGCTTCATCACCATGGGCCAGCTTCTGCGAGGCCCTTTCTATGTACAGCATGGCATCGTCGCAGGCTGCCCCTTCGCCACGACGATGGTGAGGATTTTCGTCATAGGCCCCCTCGACTCGGCAGGCATCCCACGTACAGTTTCGCTCGACGTTTACATCGATGACTATGGACTGTCGACAATCGGAACTACCTCGGAAGTTGTATACGACCTGTCAGAGGCGGCTGTTTCATTACACGATGCCATCGTGAACGACATAGGTGGCAGTATTTCGCATGACAAGGCCAACCTTGTGGCCTCCCATCGCCATGTTGCAGTCGAACTGCGCAAGCGACTGGGAGCTCTGGCTGGCAAGCGAGTTGTTTCTTCTGCAGCTAACCTTGGGATCGATCACACTTCGGGCAGGCCTAGGAGGGCCCCTACTCGGTCCAAGGTGTTTCGGGTGCGTATGCTCACGCTCAAGCACAAGACCAAACGACTGCAGAAGATACGACAGGCTTTAGGAAGGCACTCCAGGAAGCTGTTTATCACAGGCCCTCTGCCTGGGTACTATTATGGAAGTGAAGTTCACGGGGTCTCTGATGCTGAATGGGGGCGTGTTCGGCGTGCGTTCGGTCGTTGTATCAGGCCCAAGGCTGGGTCCCGCTCGCTCACTTCAGCAGTTATCCTGGAAAAGGACCCTACGTACTACGGGCCCATTGCGCCCATCCTGAGGTACGCCAAGGAGCTCTGGGGGACCCATATGCGCTCTTTTACGTTTACCCTGTCCTGGCCTGAGCTCCGCACTTCTTGGGAGTCCGTTTTCTTGGGACCAGGGCCCGACAACTGGAAGCAGGTCTCGGGGCCCATCAGTGCCATGAAGCTCAGTTTGCAGCGCATTGGGTGGTCGATGCCCAGTTTCACGGTCATGAGGGACCAGTTTGGAGTGGACCTGCCGCTCACCTTGGTCAGCCCCGCTCTTCTGAAGCGCCACCTTAGGCAGGCGGTGCTCCACCTTCATGAGCGACGTGCAGGTGCCAAGTTTCTGCCTTCTCTTCCGCAGCCTGTCCGAGTATGTCATGACCAGGTGCATGCCATGCTGCAATCTTCCAAGTGGACCCCGCGGGGGAAGGGCTCTATGAAGGCCCTCGCGTGCTCGGCTGTGTGGACTAAGTCTCGGGCACGCAGTGCTGGCTATGATCAGGGCGACGTCCTATGTGAGCTGTGTGGAGGTGCTGAGGACACCCTCTTGCATAGATTGTGGCGTTGCCCCGCCTGTGAAGATATACGCAGTGAAGTACTAGGTAAGGATGCTCGGCTAGCCCCTCCCCTGGACCTCACGGAGCAGAGTGACCCCGAGCAGTACCTACTGTATACCCGTGGGCTATATGTACACCCAGGCGATTACCTCCCCCGTCCAGCGCATGAAATTGATGGTCCTGGTTCTGGGATTCAGGTGTCTTGGACTGGGGACCCGTACAACACCAGCACCACCGTCGGCGGTAGGTTATATGTAGACGGCTCTTGTTTTAGGAATGTGTCTCCTGAGCTCTCCAGGGCGGGGTGGTCGGTGGTTAGTGTCTCAGAAGCGGGAGAAGTGCAGTGTGTTATCTCGGGGCCGCTTCTGGCCCACTTTCCCCAAACTTCTCAAGCTTCTGAGTACGCCGCGTACTGTATTGCCGCCCAGTGTGGGGAAGATGGCAGTCACATCTACAGTGACTGTCAGAATGTGGTTAGCGCCTCTCTCGACCCTATCCCAGCGCGGCTGTCTTTTCGCCGTCCGTATGCGGGCTTTATGCTTCAGGCGTTGGGTCCTATCGCCAGTGCTGTCAGTAAGGTCAAAGGGCATGTCCTAGATAGCCCCGACCTCTCAGATGAGGCGAGGGCCCACAAGCTAGGTAACGATAGTGCTGACCAGGCTGCTCGCCTCGCCGCCCTGAGGCATCCGGCCCCCGCTCCAGTGGACGCTGAGCGTGCCGCGCGCTCGGCGCACATTGCGAGGGCGGTCTGCAGGCTTGCTGCACGTGTCATGTCTCTCTGGCCGAGGCTTGATCTTTCGGAGGCCTCCAGGACCAAGTCCCCCTCTTCCTCGAGGCCTCCTCTCCTCCCTTCTCATTCCTGGTCCTGGGAAGGCAGGCTTTGGATTTGCAGTTCTTGCTTTCGGTGTGCCCGTGGCCCCCAGAAGCCCCATCCTGGACGGTGCCGAGGCGCGGCCACCATCAAAGGGATCACAGGCCAAGGGCTCCTGGACCACGGGCACCGACCCATCTTCTTTGAAGTGAATCAGGGCGGGGGCATGCTTGTCGCCTGCACCCGCTGCTGTTACTATACGTGCGGTGGGCAGGTCAGGAAGCTCGGCAAGCCGTGCTGTGGGCCCCCCGACCCCAAACGCAAGTCTGATCATGGTAGGAGGCATGCCTGGGGCGAGATTTTAAAGGGGAAGCACCCCAAGTCGGGTGTAAGCCTTTCGACGGGGCTGGACGATCCTGTGATCATGTCGGATGGGCCACCCGCTGACTCGTCCCCTGCCCCCGACCCTCCTCCTCCCCAGGCTCCTGTTGAGGGGCCCAGGCAGCAGGATTGGCCCCCAGGCTTTTTCAATGAATATGAGGCGGAGGAGGAGGAGGCCGCGACGGCCCTCTTCGCCGACCGCCAGGCGCCGCCCGCGCCGCCCGCCCCTGTCGTCCCGCCGTCCTCTCGTCAGCATCTGGGGGACGAGGCGGGACTGACTGGGCCGCCTCAAGGTCTGGGACTTTCTTCTTCCCCCTCCCCTCCCAATGCGGTGGGGGTGGGGGGTCCCTTTTCCCCTTCCCCCCCAAAGGGGGGGGAAGGGAAGGAGCAGCTCCGACGAGTCAGGTTTCGCCTCCAGGAGGAGGAGAACGCGGGTCTTGTCCGAGCTGCTCGTGTAAGGTCTGCGGAGTCTGGCGACTCCGACTGACCTCGGTCCCTGGGGTGCCCGCCGCCCGCGTCGGCCACCGCCTCGGTCCGCTGCCGCCAGCTCTGTTTCAGCCCAGGCTGACTCAACCTGTCGGCTCATCCCTCTGCGGTTGATGTTGAAAAAGCCCTCTCCCCTGCCCTCCCCCTCTTCCCCTTGCCCTCCCCCTCTTCCCCTTGCCCTCCCCCTTGCCTTCCCCTTGCCCTCCCCCCCTCCCTCCCCCTCTTCCCCTTGCCCCCTTGCCCTCCCCCTTGCCCTCCCCTTGCCCTCCCCCTTGCCCTCCCCCTCTTCCCCTTGCCCTCCCCCTCTTCCCCTTGCCCTCCCCCCTCGCCCTCCCCCTCCTCCCCCCCTCCACGTGTCGTTTGTTCCCTGTCGGAGGGGCGCCGCCCGCGCTTCGACGGCGCCTCTGCCCTGCGAAGGCGCAGCTTCGCTTTGGTGTTCTCTGCGTGCGTGCGCGGGAACGCCCCGACGCCTCGCGCCCCCCCCCATTTGCGAGAGGAGCAGCAGCCCCTTGCCTCCGCCTTTTCTCTCCGCCTGTCCTTTCCCGTTTCTGGCGTTCCCCCTCTCCCTGCTGTCTCTTCCCTCTCTTGCCTGCGGCCCCCTCATATCCTACCATATCGTTGTTGCTCCCCCTGTCCACTCTCTCTCTCTCTCTCTCTCTTGTCTCGTACACCCTCGTCTCTCTTTCCTCCGCCCTCTCCATTCCCAACGTCTTTTCTTCTGCATCCGCCCATCCCATCTCTGCCCACTGTTTTAGCGCTTCCGAATTCGATCAGCAGAGGACTTACCAGATTCTCTTGTCAGCCGGAGTGTGGATCGCTTCAGGCATACCATATGTTCCGGCCATTCGCTGCGCGGGATACAAGCGTTTGACCCAATATCGAGCGTGGCCGACACGATTTGCTGTCCGCTGGGTTGTTCTGGCCAGACCTCGGGGTCCACCTCACGGGCACGGTGAGGTTGCCATTGGTCTGCTGAGTGGGTCGACGTCCTCCTGGCTGTTGGGAGAAGAAAACACTGCTGACCATTCAAGGAAGACCGTTCAAGAGGCTTCCAAGAGGGCTCCAAGACGGTTCCGAGAGGGCCCCAAGACGACCAATGAGCCCCCCCACGCAGGCTCAAAACGCACCCGAGAAAGTCCCAAGAGGAGGCCCCACGATGCCGCGAGCACCAGCTGGCCCCCAAGAGGCTTCCCCAGGGGCCCTCCGATGCTCCAGTGGGCAAATTGAGAGCCCCCGGGGGCTGAATAATTCTTCATGCAAAATCCCCCTGCCGGAGGACTTGCCCGACGCAACCATAGCCTCTGGCTGAGGCCTGGCCCGGGCCCGACCCCGCCGACGCCCGGCAGGCGACGCCCTGGCGGGGGAGGCCATGGCGCCGCAGGGCGACCGCCCGCTCTCGGCGGCAGAGTACTTGCTGGTCGGCACCGCCCACGGCGGCGCGGCGGCGACGGCCGAGGTCTCGTCGCCCCTCGGCGGCGCCCCCGCGCAGGCCCGGGTGGAGGGTTTCTCCGAAGGGTTTAGGCGACCCGTCCTCCTCCTCCTCCTCCTCCTCCTCCTCCTCCTCCTCCTCCTCCTCCTCCTCCTCCTCCTCCTCCCTCTCCTCCTCCTCCTCCTCCTCCTCCTCCTCCTCCTCCTCTCCTCCTCCCTCCTCCTCCTCCTCCTCCTCCTCCTCCTCCTCCTCTTCCTCCTCCTCTTCCTCCTCCTCGCCCCTCCTCTCTCCTCCTCCTCCTCCTCCTCTCTCCTCTCTCTCCTCCCCTCCTCCATCTCCTCCATCTCCTCCTCCTCCTCCTCCTCCTCCTCCTTCTCCTCCTCCCTCCTCCATCTCTCCCCTCCTCCTCTCTCCTCCTCCTCCTCCTCCTCCCCCTCCTCCATCTCCTCAATCCCCTCCCCCCTCCTCAACCTCCTCCTCCTCCTCCTCCTCCTCCTCCTCCTCCTCCTCCTCCATCTCCTCCTCCTCCTCCTTCTCTTCCTCCATTCCTTCTCCTTATAGATAACTCCTCCCTGTCGCACCCCGAGGCCAGTTTTTATGGCGGGCCGGGCGTTTCGCCTGAGACTCCCGCACAACTTATGACTCTGAATGTTAAGAAGTGACAGAAGTTTTACAGAAGGAGGGCGGGTCGCTTTCAAAATGGGGCTCTCGCCTCAGCGCCGCGCAAGCTCGTCTTAAACAATTGCACGAGCTTCACGGATTGAGTGCGGGTGGTTTTCAACATGTGGTTCTCGCTTGGCGCCGCGCACATTCGTTTTAAGAACTTGGCACGAGCGTCACGGATTGAGGGCGGGTGGTTGTCAGCATGTGGTTCTCGCCTTGGCGCCGCGCACATTCGTTTCAAGAATTTGGCACGAGCTTCACGGATTGAGGGCGGGTGATTTTCAAAATGTGGTTCTCGCTTTAGCGCCGCGCACATTCGTTTCAAGAATTTGGCACGAGCTTCACGGATTGAGGGCGGGTGATTTTCAACATGTGGTTCTCGCTTTGGCGCCGCGTACATTCGATTTAAGAATTGGCACGAGCTTCACGGATTGAGGGCGGGTGGTTTTCAAAGTGTGGCTCTCGCTTTAGCGCCACGCACATTCGTTTTCAGCCTTTGCAGGAGTTTCGCGGATTGAGGGCGGGTCGTTTTCAAACTGTGGCTCTCGCCTTAGCGCCGCGCACATTCGTTTGACAAATTTGCAAGAGATTCACGGATTGAGGGCGGATGGTTTTCAACGTGTGGCTCTCGCCTTAGCGCCGCGCACGTTCGTGTAAAGAATTTGGCACGAGCTTCACGCATTTAGGGCGGGTGATTTTCAAATGTGGTTCTCGCCTTAGCGCCGCACACATCAGTTTTAAGAATTTGCAAGGGTTTCACGGATTGAGGGCGGGTGAATTTCAACATGTGGTTCTCGCTTTGGCGCCGCGCACACTCGTTTTTAAACATGTGCACGAACTTCACGGATTGAGGGCGGGTGGTTTTCAAAATGTGGCTCTCGCTTTAGCGCCGCGCACATTCGTTTTCAAGCTTTGCAAGAGTTTCACGGATTCCCACGACCAGCGAACCAGAATTCGTGTTTTGCAAGGATTCAGGATTATGCGGGCGCAACAGTTATGGTCAGTCGCTGTGTTGAAGCTCCAAAAATGGCATTCTGGCACGATTCTGGATCGTCAAGACGCAGCAGTCAGGCTGATGCGTGGGGTCGAAATCCTCAGAGCAGTGTTTTGGCACGCTTGAGGATCTTCAGACTGTTGTCTTCCAGCGAGGCAGTTCCTTCAATGGAGATAAACCGATGTATGGTCCTATGAAGAGGGAGCTTGGAGGGAGGGTTCATTCCCAAATCGTTGATGACTCTTGGGTTTCCACTGGTCCTCCTCCTCCTCCTCCTCCTCCTCCTCCTTCTCGGGTCGCCTGCGCCCTTCGGCGGCGCCCCCGCGCAGGCCCGGGAGCCATGGAGCCGCCCGCGCCTGTGCGCCGGCGCCGCCGGCGCCTGCGCGCTCGCCCTCGCGGCCGGCGCTAGCCTCGCTGTCGCCGTCGGCGCCCGCGCCTCGCCGGCACGGGAGGCGACTGCACGTGAGAGTGGAGACCCATGCCAAGAAACGCCCTGCTCGCCTCCAGGGTGCCCTGGGTTCCCTGGGTTTCGATGGTTTTGCGATGGAAGGCGTGACGTTCCCACGCCAAAGCGCTATGGACGTTCTAAGGTCTCAGGGTTGGGTTTCTTGTGGGAGGTCTCTTGTGCCCGGGCCTCCACTGTAAGAGTGGTTCTTGACCTTAGCACCGCTCGGGCGTGTGCATGTTTATCTCGGCGAGGAACATCGAGGAGCAGCCTGGATCATCGAGCCAATAACAGAACGCACGATACCGAAGCATGCACGGGGAATGGACGTCCGAGCGAGGGCGAGCTTAGCCGGAGCGACCTTGGTGCGGGCCCATTGGGGCTTAACAAGGATTTTCATAGCGTTGGGGGCTTTTTTTTGCCCCCCCCTATTCAAGGTCGGCGTGTTCTTGCCACTTGTTCGCCCCGGCTGCTGCCACGGTCACCGCTGCCTCGGTCGGCCGCTCCAGCCCGCTCGACGCGAAACTCTTCTTCAGCGCTTTCCCTTCCTTTTCCCCCTGCGCGGCCGCTCTCGTCTTTCTGCCCCCCTTTGCACGCCAGCCAATTGGCCTTTCGGTTGCCCCGAACCGCCACACGCTGGAGCGGACCGCCTCTGCCCCGCCGCCGCCGATTGCTAGCTGTGGCTCCCGTGTTGGTTCCGTTTTCGGGTCCGGGGTCCGCCCGTGGTCCACCTCGCTGTCTGAAGATGTTCGATGCTCGCTCCACGCGCTTCCAGGCAGCACGGTGCCGGCTGCCTGACGTCGGCACTCCAGGGTGCTGTTTTTTGACGATTGATTCGTTCTTTCACAGCTGAGCACAGGGCCCCCCCGATCGCCGAATGCGGTGCGACTGCAGGGACCCCCCCGTGCCCCCCAGAAGCCGTGACGTCTGACGCGGCACACACAAGCAGCATCGGAGCAAATTGCGACCGCAGCCCTAGACCTAATCTTTCTGCGCCATCTCTCGAGCCGGATCGATGTGTGAGGGCCCCCGGGCCCGAAGGCGGAGCGCGAAGGGCCACAACCTGAGGGGCCCAGGGTCACACTGACGTGCAGCCGACGGAGGCGCGCGCGGAACGCTTCCTCGTCCCCGCCAGGGCCCCCGCCAGGGTGCTCATGTCCCCGCCGCCGGACCCGGCGTGGGGGGCGTGGCCGCCATCAGGCGCGGCATCGGCCATGGCCGGGGCGGAGGCGCCCGGGGCGGCCCGGCGGAGGCTGTTCCAGCTCCTGGAGGATCGGCCCCGCGCAGAGGGTGGTGGGGGGAGGGGGGAAGGCTTCTTAGAAGTGCCCCTGCTTCTGAGAAGGCGCGGGCCTTGTCTATAGGTGTCAGGCCGGCGCCTTCTAAGAAGCAGCCTCCTTCCAAGAGACCTTCTCCCCTCCCCGTGCCCCCGTGTGCGCGCCGCCAGGGGTCGCCACAGGGGGACTGGGTCTTGAGGGAAACTGGTCTTGAGGTTTGTCGCCATTTTCGGGCTTTTGGGCCCTCCACGGGCCCTGGGACTGTCAGAAAGCGATTGACTCAGGGTCCCGGGCCCAGGACCCGTTTCCCTCAGGGCCCGTGCCCCCCATGCCATTGGAGGACCCTGGAGGGACGGTGTCCGTGCGCGCCAGCAATGGCGGCTACGTCAGCGTGACCGAGGACTCGGCGGGCGCAGCAGGGCACCCAAAAGATCGCGGATCCGGGAATCGGAGCGGGCGGTTTATCATCTTCGGCCCCCCAGAGGGGGGGCCCTCCACGGCCCCCCCGGGTGGCTGGAGCGGTCTATACCTTCTGGGGCCCAAGCCTCGCGAGCAAGTTGGAGCGCAGGATGTCTGGGCAGTTCTGAAGGGCATCTGCTCCGCCACAGGGGACGCCTTTGCCAGGGCGGGTGGAAAACCCATTCCCCCCATGTGCCGCCGTGCGGGTACAATCTGCCCGCCAGGCACGGGACAGGCGTGCCCAGTGGCGGAACAGCTTGCTGTATTCCGTTCTCTGAACGCCAAGAGGATGGCCAGATCGGCAGCGAGGCCTCCATCGGCGAGTGGGAGCGCTTCGGGCTCCTCGAGCACAGCGACGGGACTATCTCCCTGAAGGCATGGACTGGGGTGTACATAGGGGCGAGCGGGGGCAAGATGGGGGTTAGCAGCAAAATCGGCAGCACGGAGAGGCTGAAGAGGGTCGAGAAACAGGATGGTGCAATCATGATCGAGGCTTCTGACGGTAGGTACCTGAGCAGCGAGGCGTTCTCCGACCAGCCAGGGCGGTTCGCCATCCACACTCGCCATGCCACTGGGGCAGGCGACGCCGAGAAGTTCCACGTGGAGGCAAATCCAGATGGCACGGTATCGTTTACGTGCCTCCACGGCGCATACCTGAGCGTGGAGGATTCCGCGTCTGTGGTTTCAGGGAGTTTGACGGTGGGCAGAGAAGAAAAATTCAGGCGCCACCAGAACAGTGATGGGACAGTCTCTCTCTTCGCAGTACGCACTGGCCGCTACCTCACGGCGCACCAAAACGGGACAGTGCTTGCGAAGGCCTCACGACCTGGTAAACTAGAGAATTTCCAGCTTGCCGAGCATAATGATACTGACGGCAGCATTTCGTTCTCATTCAAGGCGTCCGATGGCACATACTTGTCTGTCTCCAGGATCCCCGTGTTCACATTTTACATGTACCGCTCGCAGGGGAACGTTGACTACCCATGGCGGAGTGTCAACACGGGTAACCTTGCTGGAGTGTTGTGGTATCTGCACAACGAGGTGGTCACCTCTACACCGCGTAAGTTTGGGATCCAGCGCATCGTCCGCATGAAAGTGCAGACCACGTCGACCAAGGCGCTGTCCGAACGAGGCCTCAATTTTGGGGTCAGGTTTGCCTACGATTCGGGCAATTGTACCGGCGCTGGGCCCATCAACGGCTACTCCAGTTGCAGGGGCTTCTACGCCAGGCTGGGCCACTTCGTTGGCTGCAACTATCTTGGGGACTACCCGTTCCCCATGGCCTCCAAGGGCTTCCCAAGTTACTACGACCGCGGCATTTGGTACAGCCTGCCGAAGGCGGGCAACTGCGATGGTGTTCCCACCGGAGAGGACAACTGCACCTATTCGACCGAGGAGGCGGGCAGCGTCGACATCGACGATCTGTACGGCATGGGCTCGAATTTTTCGGCGTGGTACAACGACCCTAACAGCAGAGAGTACGTCGCAGAGCTCGACACGGGCATCGGCAGCGATTTCTGGAAGGGCAAGACGGACATGGAGGCCAACAACAAGCGCGTGAAGCGTGCATTCGAGCTCTTCGACGAGAAGTACCCGGACATGCCCTCTGGTGAGGACTACCCATACTCGGCGGGTGGAAATGGAGTGTGGCCTAAATAGGGGGCGAAGAATCGGGCCCTGAATGGGGCACTTCAGAGCCCCTTTTGGGCCCCTGCTGGCTTCAGAAGGGGCCTCAAGTTGTCTTTTAGCATCCTTTTCTTCACACCCCATCTAGGCCACCCACCATTACCATCCGCCCGACAGACCCGACCTGCGACTTCAACTGCAAGCGCTTCTACTCGAGCGAGGAGCTGGCGCGGGTAGGCGCGGAGTGCCAGTGCAGCGCGGGCCCAAACGCCCGGAGCTTCTTCGGCGAGGTGGACTGGGACCAGTGCGGCTTCGACCCGCTCTCCGGCCTTCAGGATGCCGGCTACTGGCCGACTCGGTAACAGCGGGACTCGGGAGAGTCAGGACAGTCGAGGGAGCAGTGGGCTCCGTTGCATGCTGGCGCGCTCTGCGTATACTGAATTCGTGCGGGATTGGGGTCGGGGCTATTCGCCTCTTCCTATGGTCGGGTGCCACGTGTTGCAGTTTTGCATGCAGGGGTCTCAATTTGCCCTCATCGTTTAAGATATCCCCAGAATGCGCAGCGTGATCGGTATGCAGACACGGGTTTCCATGTTTCCCTCGTGTGCCGTCTTTGTGCGCGGTGGGGTGTGGCAGTTTGGCTGGCTGGTGGCGCCCGCTTCCAGAAAGCGATATAGTTTATGCACCCATTCGGGCAAAGTAGTAAGTACTTTTTGTCCTGACGGATTGCCAGAATTCAGTGCTTCGTGCTTGCAGAGTGCAATACAAATAAAGTTTGAACCACAGCGTCGTGTCCCTATTCGCTGTCGTCAGAGGCAGTTTCTACAGCAAGTAGTGGCACAGACCCGCTGCTGTCTTGAGGGTTCCATGCTTGGTCACTATCTGGAGGACATGAAAAAACACATATTATCTATGTCTCACCTGCTGTGGGCATATTTGAGAGCCTCCCTGGGGGTTCCTGTGGGCCTCTCAGGGGCCTATTTGAGCCTCTGGGGGGCGGGCGATTCTGGAGCCATTTTGAGGACTCTGGTTCTCATTGGGAGAGAAGGCCACGACCATGCAGCACGGTTCTGTACTGACATAACATGGCATGCCTTGGGGCCTCGTGGGGGGGGCATCTTGGGGAGATCTCTTGGGGCTGTTTGGGGGCCATCCTGCGGCCTGTCGCCCGTTGATGCCCGCTGTGGGGATGCTCTTGCGGTGGGGCCGTCCTGGAGCCCCGTGGCGCTCCTCTGACGGTCCGGGCTTTCTCTTCATGCAGTGGAGGCCGATGCCGAGAAGCACCCGGCTTGCCCCCAGGGCATCCTGGCTTTCTCGGGTTTCGATGGTTTTGCTATGGAAAGTGTGATGTTCCCACGCCCAAAATCAATGGGCGTCCTGGTGTCTCCGGGTTGGGTTTCTTGTGGAAGGTTTCTTGTGGACTGGCCTCCCGTGTAGGAGCCCTGCACTCCCTCCTTTAGAGGTGCCTCGCGCGATCTCAGATCCGTCCTGAGGCCTCAGCAGCCCGTCAGGGGCACCACGACGAGGACTCTCAAACTGTTTTGGTTTCGCAACCACAAGGTTTCAGGAGGGGGGAGAAAAACACACACACACACAGACGCAGGAAACCGTCGACTCTTAGGAACAGGTGGGGGGCTGCATGGGAAGTGGGAGGGGGGGAGGACGAAAATCGAGAACGCGTGGGGAGTCCTGGGAGCTGTGTGCGCTTCTCTGTGTGCCCCTGGGCCCCCTGCAGCCGGGGAGGAGGAGCGCCTGCTGCTCCTCGCGGGGCGGACGGAGGAGGAGGAGGAGGAGGAGGAGGAGGAGGAGGAGGAGGAGGAGGAGGAGGAAGGGTGGAGGTGGAGGTGGAGGAGGAGGAAGGAGGAGAGGAGGGAGGAGGAGGGAGGGGAGGCTGTGTGCGCCTTCTGTTCCTTGCCCCTGGGCCCCCTCGAGGCTGGGGCTGCCAGGGAGCCCGCCCGCCCAGCCTGCGCCTCGCGACCGCCCGGCCCCGGAGCCCCCCCGCCTCGCCCCGCCCGCGGGGCCGCACACCGCGACCGCCAGGCCCAGTCGGACGGGGCCAGGCCTCCTCCTCCTCCTCCTCCTCCTCCTCCTCCTCCTGCTCCTCCTCTCCTCCTCCCTCCTCCTCCTCCTCCTGCTCCTCCTCCTCTCTCCTCTCTCCTCCTGCTCCTCCTCCTGCTCCTCCTCTTCTTCCTCCTCCTCCTCTTCTCCTCCTCCTGCTCTGCTCCTCCTCCTGCTCCCCTCCTCCTCCTCCTCCTCCTCCTCCTGATCCTGCTCTTGCTCCTCCTCCCGTTCCTGCTTCTCCTCCTCCCGTTCCTGCTCCCCCTCCTCCAGTTCCTCTCCTCCTCCTCCCTCCTCCTCCTGCTCCTCCCCTCCTCCTCCCTCCTCCTCCTCCTGATCCTGCTCTTGCTCCTCCTCCCGTTCCTGCTTCTCCTCCTCCCGTTCCTGCTCCCCCTCCTCTAGTTCCTCCTCCTCCTCCTGCTCCTCCTCCTCCTCCTCCTCCTCCTGCTCCTCCTCCTGCTCCTCCTGCTCTGCTTCCGCCTCTTCCTCCTCCTCCTCCTCCTCCTCCTCCTCCTCTTCCCTCTCCTCCTCCTCCTCCTCCTCCTCCTCCTCCTCTTGCTCCTCCTCCTCTCCTTAAGACGAAGCCAGGACGAGGATAAACACAGGGAGGATGCATCGAGCATCCCTGAGATCCAGCGGCTTTGGAGGATGTGTCGGGCGTCGCGGCCTGCTCAGAGCGTTCCGGAACGCTCTGAACGGATCTATCCTCGGAGGAGGGGGTGCTCAGAGATGCTCGATGCATCCTCCCTGTGTTTATCCTCGTCCTGGCTTCGTCTTAAGGGGAGGAGGAGGAGGAGGAGGAGGAGGAGGAGGAGGAGGAGGAGGAGGAGGACGCGGCTCGCCCGCAGGCACGCCCTAGGAGACCCGAGATTTCCGAGCGTCCCGCCTCCCCCGCCAGCGCCCCACGACGAATCCGTCAAGACAGACGTCACGAGCCTCATGCCGTCCGCAGACATCCAGGGGCCACGATAGCGGGGGATAGGCACAGGGGGGGGGGAGATGTATCGACCCCCACTTTCAAGTCGGGCACGTTCCTCAGGAGGAAAATCCAAAAATAGTAGAAAAAATAGGATGGGGACAATTGTTTTGTTTTTTTTTTGGGGGGGGCTATTTTTTAGCTTTTGTTTAACTATTTTCATTGTTTCGTCCAAAATCCGCCTCTAGGGGGACATGCCCGACCTAACCCCAATCGCCTATTGATCGCCGATAGGGGTCTGATAGCCCCAACCCGCCCAGGAAGGTTCGGATTCATTCACTATCGGGGGCCTATCGCCGATCTATCGGCGATGTATCGCCGATTCCAGGTCGATGCACCCCCCTCATATGCCAGTCTCCCCCTTATCGCTGCCCCCCAGACATCTAGAGCTTCCAGGGATAACGGACACCTAGAAACAGCTAAGTGTCCCTGAGAATCCCGAGTGTCGCGGCTCGCCCGCAAGCGCGCCCCAGTGATCCCGAGATTGCCGAGTCTTTGGTATCGCTCGGACGTGCGCGTAATTTTCTCGGCGAGGACCATCGAGGAGAATCCATGGGTCATCTGGCAAGAAGGCATCTCTCGAGACCGACGCATGCGCGGGGAATAGACGTCCGAGCGACGGCAAGGAGCGTCCCGCCCCGCCCGGACAGGCGGAGGTGTTATCTCAAGGGTATGCATCCCAGGTGCGGGGAAGATGCTGTGATACTCGCTAGCTGGTTGGTATCACGCCGTGCATCCGTCCCCGAGGTGCCTGCTGCCACACAGGCCAGTGGGTAGCGTTTCGTTGCCAGCCGATTGCGTTGCAGTCACCACGCACGGGATGAAAACAGGCGTCACGACCTCAGGCCGTCCAGGACACCCAGAATTCACATGTAACCAGACACCAAGAACAGACAGCTGTCACAGACAACAAGGCGCACCTCAGGTGTATGCGCCAAGAGCAAGCAGCAAGGACGACCACCGATACCAAACATCAAGGATATACACTGACGATCTACAACAACCACGCACATCACCGACAACAAGTGCAACACACAGCAATGCCACACACACACTTGATCGGCCCCAGAAGCAACTAGCATTAACGTCCATCTTTGTTGTTCAAACATAGCGCCCGTCATTCATAAGAGCAGCGATCCGACAGCACCGTTGGCATCAAGAGCATCTCGCAAGTTTATACACTAGCTGCGCGCATCAGCGACGGTCAGCTAGGACAGCGACCAAGAGCATACACACAGACCCTGTTCGAGATCATACAATCGCACAGTCTACCAACATCGCACACGAGTAGCATTCAGCACAACCGTACATCATAGACATACTCCGCGGACGGACATCAACAGCATGCATCAAGAGCACACTTCCACAAATCTGCACCGTGCGTTTACACACATCGTAGTCATCGGGAAATGACATCAATAGCACACATCGCGAAAGCAACCACATATGGATGGCACCAAGACCATGCACACCGAATGGACATAACCAACATACAATCTGCGCCCCCACACATCAAGCAGGAAGAACATGCGCAACAGCCATCCGACTAGTAGTAGAAGTAGTAGTAGTAGTAACAGCAGTAGTAGTAGTAGTAGTCGTAGTAGTAGTAGTAGTTGTAGTTCTTGTTGTTGTTGTTGTATTAGTCGTAGTAGTAGTACTAGTAGTAGTAGTAGTAGTAGTAGTAGTAGTAGCAGTAGTAGTAGTAGTAGTAGTAGTAATCGTAGTCCTAGTAGTCATCGTAGTAGTAGTAGGAGTAGTAGTAGTAGTAGTAGTAGCAGCAGTAGTAGTAGTAGTAGTAGTAGTAATCGTAGTCGAAGTAGTAGTAGTAGTAGTAGTAGTAGTAGTAGCGACTACGACTACGACCACGGCTACGACTACTACTACTACTACTACTACTACTACTACTACGACGACGACGACGACGACGACTACTAGGACTACGATTACTACTACTACTACTACTGCTACTACTACTTCTACTACTACTGCTACTGTTACT